GGCGGGCCGCGACGGGGAGCAGCCTCGGCAGCCAGCAGGGTTGCGGTGCGGGGCGCGCGGGGACCCCGGCGGCGGCGGCCCCCAGGAACCGGGCAAACAGTGTGAGTTCAGCCCCCGCCACAGACTCTGCCGGGAGCGGGAGTGGGGTAGGTGTGGAGAACGGGTAAAGAGGAGCTGGGGCAACTGGAGTGGGACTGGCCCGGACCGCGGAGGTCGCGGGAGGTGGGCGTGAGCTGCTGTTTCGGCAAAGGCAGAGGCGATGGCCCTGCGTAGAAAGCATCAGGTCCGTTTATTTCTCCAAGCCCTACTTCGAAAAAAGGCTACCTGAGCCCAGGGTGTGGACGTCACCTCCAACTTAATCGGTAGTGGCACTATTCTGGAAGGGAGATATATATATATATATATGTACACACACACATATATAGGGGGTCTTCAAAAAGTTCGTGGAAAGATTCATATTATCCTTTCATTCTATTTTTCCATGAACTTTTTGAAGTATCCTCGTACACTGGTATGTATATAAGCACACATATACACAGACAGACATTCGTATGTTTATAATGCATACCCACATTTATACACACGTGTGTGTGTGTGTGTGTGTGTGTGTGTGTGTGTACACAAAGACAGACACATGCAGATCATTTTGCCAATTCCTCTATTTTACAGATCAGGAAACTGAGGTCTAGACCAGAGGAAATACTTTAAACACCTAAAACACTTCAACTACCATCTCTTTGACTCTCAGTCCGTGAATTATTACCTGACCTTTGTATAATCTCACCCTTTAACACACTGCCGTTTCCTCCCTGCCTTGCCAAACACACAAACGATATTCTTAATCAGTAAAGTCAGTTCTGGTCCACAACCACAACCAACATGGTTGCAACTTGAGTCCTAGCCAGGTTGTAGCACTTATCCATATTGTTTCATGAATTTTCAGATATTTTACAGCCTCTTGTGCCCCACAGGTCTTCAGTAGGTGCTAAGGAATGATGGTGAAAATAACAGGCCAAAGAGGAACAGGAGAGTTTCCAGTGCTCCTCCTGTGCTTTCTTAATTGCCTCTCTGGAGAGCACCCTCCTGTTCTCCAGGCTCCCTCTGCCTGGCTGACGAGCCCCAGGAGGGCAGGTTGGGCTGAAGCACCTCAGCGCTTGTGCTTGGTGGACCACAGCCTCCTCCCTGGAGACCTTGTCAAGGAGTCAGTAGCAGAACCACTGCCTCTGGGTGAAAGGGGCCTCTCCCCTCAGCATCAGCCCTAGTATGACTATGATACCTCATTACTTTTGTTATTATCACCAATAGCATGCAGAGGCCTTACTTAGAGCAAGTAAATTCATTATCTTTGTGTGATAGAAATTCCTTACTCTTACTTAAAATTCTAGCTGGGAACTTTCCCATTAAAGATTCTAGTATCTATAGGTTATTTAGTCCTGTGGCTTTAAGACTAAAAAAAAGATGGAATTAATCATTCACTCATCAGTTCAACATATATCGATCTTTACTACATGCCAAGGCATTGGGCAAGTTGCAGGGAAAGGATTAATGAATTAAGGTATCCAAACTCTCACAAACTCACAAAGTCAGTATGCGGGTATGCAAAGAGTCTTCCTCACCTCCCTGAGAACCTCATTTTAGGCCTTAGCCTAAGTAGCGACAGGCTATTCACACCTGCACAAAATACCAATTCAATTTTCAAATGTCTCTAATTATTGGAAAGGCTTTCAGTCTTTCTACAGCTTCTATACCCTAATCACAGATCTGCTCTCTAATATGCAGAGATAAAGTGTGGTCCTATCCCATATACATCTTTGAATTATGTAAAGATGTATATTTTGGTCACACCCCAAATCTTCCATAGACTTAATGTCACCTTTAAAATTATTTGTAGCACTTTCACCATGCTGACAGGCCTCTTCCAACATTCTCCAGTTAATTAAATCACTGAGGCCAGTATTCTAGGTGTGATCTGATTAGTACAGTGTGGAGGAACTGTAACACCATTGATCTGAACACTATACTTCTATTAAGTGGACGCAAAATTACATTAGCTATTTCGGAAGACACATTATACTATTTATACATATAACAAGGGCAGTCTGTGATTTCTTTAGTTTCTTCCTTCCCCCAATTGAAAACGTTTGATCCAGGCCTTTTCAATCCTTTTCTTATGCATTTGATTTGATTGATCCTAAATACAAGTCATTATATTTATCCCCATCAATACCATCCTATAGATTTTAGCACTTCCTTCCAGGTATAGAAGCAGCCCTTGAGTCCTTATTCTGTCATCCAACAAGTTAACCATTCACCCAAGTTTATGCCATTCTCACATTTGGTGAGTTTGCTGGCAGTTTGTTTATTCAAATCAGTAAATTAGATGGTGATCCCAATAGGACCAAGCAGAATCTGTAGAAGCCTTGGTCTGTTAATAAGCCTCTTTGGCATGGGCATTCTGCTTCTTACAAATCCACTTTGTCAAACACCTTGCTGAAATGCAGATATGTTGTAGCAACAGTGTCTCCGCAATCTAATAGACTAGTAACTCTAGAGGCTTCAGAGAGTAAGCTAGGCATGGCTTCTCATTTTTTATGACTTCAGTTTTATGGATTCAGGGAGTTACTTTCTGAACTGTAAAACAATAATTATACTTGCTTATAGGTCATGTTGAGAAAGAGAAGGAATATATGTAAGATGCCTAGGGCATGGTAGCATTCAATAAATTGTAGCAAATGTTATTACCTCTCAACAAAAGAAAGCCTGGTGCTTTAGTTTGAATGTCCCCTCCAAAGGTCGTGTTGAAACTTGGTCCCCATTGTGGCAGTATTAAGGGGTGGGAAATCTGATCCTGATTTGAAAGGTGGGGCCTTTAAGAGGTGATTGGATCATGAGGGGTATTCCCTCATGAATGGATTAATTCATTCATGGATTAAGGGGTTAATGGATGAGTGAGTTATCATAGGAGTGGCCCTAGCGGGTTATGAGAGCAAGTGAGTGTGTTAATGCACTCCTGCACCCTTGCCATGTGGTGCTCTGCACCCCCTCGGGACTTTGCAGAGAGACCCTACCAGGAATAAAGCCCTGAACAGATGTGTTGCCTTGACTTTGGACTTCCCAGCCTCCAAAACTGTAAGGAATAAATTTTGTTTCTTTATAAATTCCCCAGGTTCGGGTATTCTGTTATAAGTGACAGAAAACTGACTAAGGCACCTGGAATAATATTGTTCCAAAAGAATATACAATAACATTGTTCTTAGCAGTCCTTCCTAACATTTAGTGATTGCTGCCCCTCATTGTTGTACTATATGTAAAGCCATCTGTTGACCAATCCACTCAAAATGTTGTTGAAGATCAACATCAAGCTGCTATATTATAGTTTGTAGAATTTCCTTTTTCTTCCTTTCTTCCTTCATTCCTTCTTTTTCTTTCTTTCTTTTTTTTCCCTAGCAGGGAACATTTGCCCACACTAGCTCCTTACTACTTTGCTCCATTTTCACAGTTCCTCATGTCGCCTTTAGTGGTTTACTCTGTAAATTTTCTTAACAGTAGGGCTGAAATTTGCCAGGAAACCTGAACTTAGAGCAGGTGATCTCTTCCTCTCTGCCATCCTGTTATAGGCCAATTTTGTTAATACCCTTTTCTACCGGAAGATCATTATTTAATAGAAAAAGTTTAAACCAAAGTTAGGCTTCAATGGCTTCAATAATGCTGATGCCTGGCCGGCCCGGTGGCACACTGCTACAGTGCGCCGCTTGGGAAGTGTGGTGGCGCTCCCGCCGAGGGTTCGGATCCCACATACAGACCGGCCGCTCACTGGCTGAGTGAGGTGCGGGCGCAACACCGAGGGTTGCGATCCCGTTGCCGGTCCCGGTCCGGTACGGGCGTGACACTGAGGGTTGCGATCCCGTTGCCGGTCATGAAAAAAGACAAAAAGGGGAAAAAAATAATAATAATGCTGATGCCAATTTTCATTCATATGACTCCTAACTTCTGGGAATCAAGAATGAGACTCTGAAAGTATCTAATTCTACCTTGCCCGTGTCTGAGGGTCTTCATGACCAGGAATGACCCAGGGCCACTGCCAGGAGTAGCAGGTTTCTTGCCCTATTTGGGCCAGTCTGTACTCAAGCCAAATTGACTCACTTGTGTTCTTTGTTAGTTTGGAAAAGATGAGACACCTGCCATGTCTTTGTGAGTTAAAATCAAATCTACAAAAGCAAGTATTTGGTCATTTAGGTTTTCCATGGCTATTTGAATTGAACTTTGGGTACTGAGAGTAGAACTACTGGTTCCCTGACATTCACAAGGCTACGTTGGGAGACATGCATGTAGACTAGTCTTTACTTAAAGCTCTAATTTAACAGTGCTTATTTCTACTGGACAGACAGGTGTGCATCTATTATTATGCCAAGCTCTCTTTTAGGACTCTGATGTACTAAACAGACAACATCCCTGCGTTTATGGTGTTTATGGTCTGGTAAAGAAGACAGATATTAAACTAATAGCTACACAAATAATTGTATATAAATGAAGTGAACCCGTGTGCAAATTGCAATAAATAATATGAAAGAAAAAAAGAGGGTACTATGAGAAAAAGACATTTCTAGATTGCAGAGTTAGCATAAGTTTCCCTAACTGAGCTGACATTTAAGGTGATACCTAAAATGTGAATTAAGAAATACAGACAAAAATTTAGGAGAAAGGCAGTTCGGAGAGAGAACAGCAGATACAAAGTGGAGAATGAACAGAAGGGCCATGTGGTTGGAGCTCAGAGAGAGAGAGAGAGAAAGAGAGAGAGAGAAAGAGAGGCTGATGAGAGGTTGCAGGGCCAGGCAGGCCAGATAGTGCAGAGCTCTTGCTCGTCTGAATTCTGTACTCCGGGGTGAGCAGAAGAAATGCAGCTAAGGTGTTTAGAACAAATAATCCAGTCCTCCACTGTAGTAGTGATGTCCTATAGGGCCAGGTTTAGAGGCCAGGAAAAAGTTGTATGACTATAAGTGGTTCACTATTACGATTCAGGTTGATTCTTTAAAATGGTGCTTAAAAAATTCTGGGTTGTTCTGTGTTCTGTATCTGGATTGCAAGATCCATGCACACATCTGTTATTTACTGCTCTGTCCTCAGCCCCTAGCCAAAGGCCTGGAACAGAGGAGGTCTTTAATAAGAATTTATTAAATAAATGAGTGAACATTTTCTTGAAGCTAATGAAAAAACTCCATATATTTCTTTATAATATACCTAAAAGAGGTACCTGAAACATACCTCACAAGTTTGGGAATTACGTGGAAAATGTGAATTCCCAAAAGAACCAAAAGTTACAATGGGAGAGATCTTTCCAAGGTAGAGCCCGCAGGGAAAATCATCTGATATTTGTAAGGAATGGTATGTCTTTTCTTTTTTCAAAATAGTTATTCATGTAGGTATAATGGATGGAAGGTTGGGCAGAATTTATAAGTAACCAGTTTTGTTAATGCTTTTTTAGGGAAGAAATTTTTGTACTGTGAACCACATAAGAGAATTAAGGAAGTACTAGAAGAAGAACTTTATATTAAGAGAGATGAATGCCACATTAAAAAGATACCTGCAGGTAATCTCAGTGACAAATGAAGTATATTTGTGAAATGAGTATAAAATTGCCTATTTGATGGCAGGGTGATCATTTTATTTATTACAAAACCATAAGTATCAAAAGAAAAATGAGTTATTGGGAATCCTTGTGCTATCCTATAATTGTTTTACCCTTGTCCAAATAAACCTTTATATTTAGGAAAAAAATGAGCAAGATATTGGTTTGTACTTTGCTGTTCCACTTTTTTGGTGGAGTTATTTCTATTTAATGACATGTAGAGTTTCTTTCACATGCCTGAAAAACACAATAACATCTTCAATCTTTATTGGTGCAGGTATGACCAATAACAGTGGACTTTTGATCAAACTTTAGATTGCATCAGAATTACCTGGGAGATTGTTAAAAGCAGATTGCTGGACCTCATCCCTAGAGTATCTGGCTCAGTAGATTTGGGGTGAGACCCAAGAATTTGCACTACCCAGTTCCCAGGTTATGTTGCTGCTGCTGGTCCAGGGACCCACTTTGCAAATCACTGAACTAGGTCATTTAAATAGGTCAAACCATCCAAGGATTTCATCCTACAAACACATAGCCCATGAGTTATATGGTCTGGGCATTGATAGTTCTCACTGATGGTTCATGGTAAAAAAGATGTGCTCTAGAAGCTTCAGCATCCCTCGTAGATGTTCCTTTGAAACTGCTAGTGCTCCTCATCTTCACATTTCCTTCTCAACAGTTACTAGGTGTGTATTTCATGCTTTTTAGATAATCAGATTTTTAGTGCAATGCTCTTGGGTGCCAACAGTTACTAGAAGAAATGAAAGAACTGTAAGACAGGAAGCCTGTGCTCAGAGAACTTCGCATTTTCTATGGAAGATTGTTAAGCAACCTGCAGGTGGGGCCCAAACTCACTAAGGATTCCTAAGAGCAGTGGCTGCAGCGTAGAGGTGTTTCATTTGACTCCATGACGTATGTGCTCACTTTACATTTCTAAACCCATCATAAAAACACCTTTTGGGCCTTCTCAGTTTGATTGTTCTTAGGAAAGGAGAGACCAGTCAAATAGCCAAATTTGTTCATATGGTGTCTTCAAGGAAAGTTTTAAAATCTCTTTTGAACCTATAAATGTATGCAGAATGACCTACTGAATTTCTGCTGTGAAAACCAGCCTGCATGTACTATTTCCCTGGTGGTTAAAAACATATTTAAGTGTTATAGTACTATTATATTTTGTATTTATCTTCAGTGTTTTCAAAAACTACATAAAAGCTAATTTATATGCTAATTGTATGTTGGAGTATTCTTATTGAACACACTTGATTATGGTGCAGTCTAAGTGAACAGGAAATATCATTTGGTTTACAAAAATTCATTTCTCTAAGCAATCTTCAAATTTTCTTTGTATAAAATGGAGACTATCTGGGCTGCATTTTATAACATCCACCAGAGATTGCACAGAGGTACTATTTTAATGCCTAGAAAAATCTTTCCAAGCTGAGAATAGATCCTGGAAGTTTAGGTTTTAAAGGACTCTACTTATGGATAAGAAACCTGTTTTTTCTTTTTCTTTTTTTAATGGCTGGAAGCCCCACATCCCTGGTCAGAACAGGAAACTAGCACCTACAAAGGGTGCCACACTGCCAGCCTGGTCCCAAAGTGTTGGCAGCCCTGAACCAGCCATTGGACCTTCTAGTTCAGGGTTTGCAGTGACACACTCCTTTAAATATCTGATGAAAGCTATGGCATCTCTTCCTAGATGACTCAACTTGGCCATGCACCCAGAATTCTGCATACAACTTTTAGGGACTTATTTGACTCCTATAGCATCTATTCCTAGATGTTAACAGTAAATACACTTGACCTATTGTCTCCACCTCTTTTCTTATCCTTTGCTTCTTCACCTATTCCAATTAGGCTTTTGTTCCCATAAGCCCAGGAAAACTTTTCTGGATCTCGGAAAAGACCTCTTTTTGAAGGTCATATCCAATGATCGCTCATTGTACACAAACTCTTTGTAGCACCTGACACAAGTGTTTATTCCTTCCCTCTGAAAACACTTTCCCAACCTGGCCTCTAGGTCACCATGCTTCAATCTCCTAGTTTTGCTCCTACCTCTTTGACCACTCTTCTACCTTCTCTGCCGATTCTCTCTCCTTCTAGTCTCTAAAATTTAGAGAACTCAAGTCAGAAACCCTTTTCTCTATCTACACTTACTCTGTGGGTGACCACATCCAGCTGTATTGTGCTAACTCCAAAATTTACATCTCTAGCCTCTGCTTTCCCCTCAAATCCCAAAAGCCTACTTGACTCTCTACTTGGAGAGTCTAATGGGCCTCACAAACTTAACATACCGAGAACAGAACTCTTATTCTGTACCCCAGGCTTTTAAAAACCCACTCTTCAACAGGTGTTCCCCATATCAGGAAATAGTACCAACATTCACCAAATTGATTGGGCCAAACACCTAGAAGTCAAATCCTCAAAATCCATGTCCAGTCCATTGGCTAATCCTGCTGAATCTACATTCAAAATATGTCCTACATCTCCCCAGCTGCACTCTTGCCCAAGTCCCCATCATTGCTTGCGGGCTCAGCAATAGCCTCCTATGAGAGCTGCTACTGCTATCTCCTATGAGTCTATTCTTTACCCAGAAACCAGAGGAATCTTTTACAGACATAAATCATTACACATCACCTCCATGCTCAAAACTCTCCAGTGGCTTCTTATTATTCTCAGACTAAATTCCATTCTCCTTGTATGGCCTGCTCACCTCCTTGAACTCATCTCCTATATTTTCTCAGTCCACTCTAGCCACGCAGGCTTTCTTGATATTCTGGAATGTACCAAACCCATTTCCACCACAGGACCTTTACACTTCACCCAGACCATTGAAGTGAACTTTCCTCCCACTTCATTCAGCTTTCAACTCGAGTGTCACCTTCTCAGAGAAGCCTCTCCTCTTTACTAGGTTAAAATAGAACCCCCGCCCCTGTCACTCTCTAACCCTTTATTCTACTTTCTTCTTTCTGCTTCTTTTCTATCACTACCTGAAATTAGGTATTTATTTGTACACTTCTTTATTGACTATTTTTCCCACTAGAACGTAAGCTACCTGAAGACAGGGACTTTGTTTTGCTTACCACAAATCCTCTCAAAAAGTTATTGCGATCCCCGTTTTAGGGTGATTGCACTGAGGTTTTGAGAGGTTCTTAACCTGCCCATGGTTATTAGGTATTTATTTGTACACTTCTTTATTGACTATCTTTCCCACTAGAACGTAAGCTACCTGAGGACAGGGACTTTGTTTTGCTTACCACAAATCCTCTCAAAAAGTTATTGCAATCCCCGTTTTAGGGTGATTGCACTGAGGTTTTGAGAGGTTCTTAACCTGCCCATGGTTATTTAAGTGGAAGAACCAGATTCCAAATTCAGGTCTGACCCCAAATCCCTTGACTTTCTACTCATTGTGGTGTCTCTGGTGACACGTATGGCTAAAAACATACAGTGGATGCTGCTCTGCCCTTAGCTGGCTTGAGATTTTTGCAACATTTGACATAGTTGATGGCTCCCTCCTTAAACCTTATTCCTTCCTCAAATTCCGTGATACTAAACTGTCCTGGTTCTCCTTCTACTTCTTTGGACATTCCTTCTCGTCTTCCTGTAAGAACACTTTTTTTCTCAGCCCCTTCCCCAAATGTTGATGTTTACCAGGGAGTTACCCACAGACTTCTAATCTTACTCCATCATCTCTCCCTTGTCTCTGCTATTCCCAGAGTTTCCACTACTACCTCACTAGGATGCCTCTGAAATCCATATCTCCAGACTAAAATCCTCTTCTCCTGGATGTCCCATAAGTACTCAGGATCAGCATGTCCAAAACAAAACATATACCTCTCTCCTCCTTGCTCCTTTCCCTGTATCACCCAACCCAATGAATGACCCGGCCTACAGTCCAAGTCCAAAACCAGAGCGCTATCCTCCATCCCCACTCCAGACTCCCTGTCCCACGTCTAATTAGGCTGTGATGGATATCTTAGTTTGGCTCAAGATCCCCAAAGGAAAAGACTGGGAGAGGCAATTATTTTTTACTCCTGGTCTGCTTATTTGTATTGCCTGCCTGTGCTCTCCCTCTATATGTTTGAATTTGTGAATTTCTATAAACACTATGTACTATTTTGTGGATATGCCTGTCTATCTAAATTCTAGGGACCCCAAGATATATGTATGTATCAAAGCATATTTATGTAGCTATGTATGCATTGGTTGGGTTTGTTTAAGTTTTTAAACAGTCAACTCCACGTACTTAAACAACTATCTGATAGATTAGCGAAGGTGATATTTCCATAAGAGTCCAGACTGGATTTCCCCTCAACCATAGATAAAGCACCGCAATACTGGGTCATATAGCAAAGTATGGGTGAACTTGCTGAAGAGCTTATGCCACCAATAAAAGGGAGATTTGTCCTGAAATTAAGCAACTTAAATTATAACATGTTTTATTTGTGACTGAGCTAGTAATGACAATTATGGAAGTACCCAACAGCAGTGGAGCTATTTCTTTACTTTTTTTCTTCTCCTTTGGTTGAGTGAAATTGGTAAAAGATCAAAAAATCCAGAAGTTAGCTTTTATGAATATTTAACTGAAGGAGCACTATATCTCTTGTGGAATGTTGTTGTTTGTGTAGCCATAGGGGACTCAGGAGAAAGAGCTATTCAGTCTGGGGCCCTCAGTTGAATGAGCTGTCCCACCTATTCTTGTGATCGTGTTGTGACAGCAGTTAGTAAAGCCTGTGAATATATTGAAATGGCCATGGTGTCTCAGGTCGTTGTCACTGTGCACCCCATACTTGAGTCTAGGAATGGCATCATTGACAATAGGAAAAATGGGCTACCAGGCCTCCAAGCCTTTCCTTTCCTTTCCTTTCCTGATTTTTATTTTTTCCAGGCTCCTAATGCAGAGATATGTGGGCTCAGTGAGAAGTACTGGATGCTGGGGTGAGGGACAGGGACATCTCTCTCTATAATGATGATGATGAAATTGGTGATGATGGTGATATCAATAATAGTAATAATGGCTATCATTTACAGGGTGTCTGCTGGAGATGACTGTTTTTACAAATTATCTCTTTTAATTCTTGCAACATCCCTGAGAGATAAATGCTCTTTTTACTCACATTTTGCAGATCTGGAAGCTGAGGCCCAGGAGGATACAGTGACTTGCCTGATGTCACACAGCTAGCAAGTGAAATAGCTAATGCTTGGATGTGGGCTTGTCAGAAACTGATGCCCTTGCT